CAGCCGCCTGGCTCTGAACAGTACCAGATGCCACAGTCCCCCTCGCCCTGCAGCCCCCCACAGATGCAGCAGCAGTATTCAGGTAAGAGGGGTCCCCAGTCAGGGCTGGCATCAATTCTGCCTGGGTTGGATCAGGTTTCAGGGGCAAAAGGGGTATAGGGTATAGGGGCTGCCGATTCATAGACCGATCTCTCTTACTGCTCCCCATCCCATGGCTCACTGTGAGTCCTCGGGATGTGGCAAAGTGATTTGGCTTCACAGGTTGATGCTGGCCTGTGCCTGGTGTCCCCAAACCTTGGCAGGTGGGGTAGGAGCCACAGCGAGTTGCTGCGGGCTGCAGACTCCCTCTGCTGGCAGCAGGGCTTAGTGTGTCACCGGGGCAGCTCCTGGGGTGAGAGAGCTGGATCCCTGCGTCCTGTCCCAGCTGCAGGGGTGTGAGGTGGGGACCTGGTGAATTACTGCAAGAGCTGGAGCTGGAACCAGAACACTTGGGCTCTGCGCCCAGCTCTGGGGTCAGATCCTTTGCCTGGGGTTGTGTTGTGATGCTCAGAGAGGTCACACAAGTTGTCTTCGGCTTGTCCCCTCTTCTTGCATTTTTCCTGGATAAAAAGTCATCACTCTGATGTAAGGCATGATATCAGAGATCTTGGCAGGGTTTTAGTAGGGCCCCTCTTCACCCACCTGGACAGGCAGGAACGGTGAAGGACAGAGTAAGGTGGAGGTGTTCTTGGGAAGAGTGCAAGGCTGCAGTTGCTGCCTCTTCTTCCACAGCGAGCAGCAGCAGTGTGCAGAGCCTGGGCAATACTGCTGCTGTCCTCTCTCCCCAGGGGTGTCTCCATCAGGCCCTGGCGTGGTTGTGATGCAGCTGAATGTACCCAATGGCCCCCAGCCCCCCCAGAACGCCCCTGTGGTGCAGTGGAGCCACTGTAAGTACTACAGCCTGGACCAGCGGGGGCAGAAGCCAGGAGACCTGTACAACCCAGACACCAGTGCTCAGGTATTGAGAGGACTGGGAGGAAGGCAGCTCATCTTTTGGGAGCAGCCTGGTGGGAGAAAAAAGGACGCCGGCATCCATGCTGTGTGCGTGGGCTGGGAGAAGGGGGTGGGCTCATCCCACGGTGGTGAGACAGGATCGGGACTGGTCCCAAGCACTGGGAGTGTCTGACCCTCTGCCTCCCGCAGGCCAGCACCCAGCTGAACAGCCCCATCACGTCGCCCACGCAGTCCCCGACGCCGTCTCCTGTCACCAACCTCAACAGCGTCTGCACGGGGCTGAGCTCCCTCCCGGTCCTCACACAGTTCCCCCGCCCCATGGGCCCAGCACAAGGTAAGGGAAAAGAGTGGGAACAGCACAGGGGTGGGTCCTTCCTGTGATTTCTTTAGACACCTACCAATATTTGCTTCAAATTTTGTAGGTGATGGGCGTTACTCGTTGCTGGGCCAGCCGCTGCAGTATAATTTGTCTATCTGTCCCCCACCACTGCTCCACAACCAGCCCAACTACAACACACACCAGGTAAAACGGGGGCTGACCCCCATCCATCCTTTTCACTGCTGTGGGAGCAGAGCAAGACCCCCCCCACACAGACCACACTGGGCTTAGAATTTCACCTTGTCCCTGGCTTTGCCTAGAAGCATTGTCAGCACCAGGTCCTTGGGAGTGTCCTGGAACCAAGGCTGTGTCCTGGGCTCCTCCAACCTCAGAAGCACGGTGCCACTAAAAGGTGCCAGGGGTGCAGGTTTCACCCAGGTGTCTCCATTCCCCCTTGTCACATTTGGGCTTGCCCGCCCGCTGCCCCGGGATGCACTGTGAGGCCACCATTTCTCCTCGGGTGACGTGCTGCTGTTTTTATTCTTTAAGGGACAGACTGGAATGAAACACGGAAACCGGAGCAAGAGGCACGCCCTCAAGTCAGCATCCACTGACCTTGGGACAAGTGATGTAGGCAAGTGACCTTCCTCGAGCAATTCCCCCTTTGCCCCCTGCCTGGGTCCCTCCTGCATGGGTGTAGGTGGCATTGGCAGCGATCCCAGATGCTCCCTCTGCCCACACAAGCATCCCACAGACCAGTTCCTGCCCCCACCACCTCCCCACACACACCCCACAGCCCATGTGAGGCCTGACTGGGGCGTGTGGGGATGCTCAGTCCCTCTCAGCTGTGTCCAGAGGGAGGTGAGGGGACAGGGGTTGCTCAGGTTGCAGTGAACGCTGCCTACACCAATCAAAGCTTTTGCAGAAGAGAGGTGAAAAACTATTTGAAAGGCAGGGATGGGCACCAGGTCACCTGGGCCCTATTGATGGCCCCCATGAGGGTTGAAATGATGGAGCAGGTGGGGCTGGCAGGCAGAACTCAGGGTTTTTTCCTCTGTCAGCAGACAGTGACTGCCCAGACCTCCGATACCTTGTTCCCACCGTTATCCTCCCAAGCACCCCTTCCCTCTAATGTGCCAGTTTCCCAGTGGGGCCAGGAGCTGCAAAGCCCTCATCTCTGTGAAGATCTTTGGGATCTTCCAGGAGCGGCTGCCAAGGACCGTTTCCCTCCTGTTTCCCTCCCGGGAGTCCCCAATTGCTTGTGTCAGGCCAGAAGGAGTCTGGTTTCTCCCCCCAGTTGTGCAAGCCTTGCTGGCTGGGCAGTTTGCATGGGCTCTCTGGAGGCTCCGGATGTGTCCCCCACATCCCCTCCTCGTCACCAGCAAGCACAGCCGGTCACAGGGGGCCCTTTAAGAGCAGCTTGCCTGGGGAGCTGTCCCCCCTCCCTGCAGCTGGCATGGTCATTACATGCCATGTTAATATTAGCAAAGAATCCATTCAGCCAGCCCTCCGCTAAGCCCAAAAGCCAGGGCTGGAGCCAGGAGGCAGCAGAAGTGTTTGGGTACCACAGGACAGAGGCAGAGAGTTTGGCACGACGCTGGCCTGGGCACACGAGGGGATCCTGCTCCCTGTGGGGGGAGCACAGCGGGCAAAGGCACATTCAGGGTCTGTGTATGTCAAGGTGCAACAGTCGTCTGTCTGTGGGTCCTCCCTGCCACGGCAGAGGGTGGGAAGGTGGGGCAGGACACCTGGGAAAGCCCAAACTGAAAAGCCAAGCCCAGACAAAGGAAGCGAGGAGGACTCGGTGTTGCTGGAGCCCTTGGGACCAGCAAGGGTCAGGATGGGGCAGTGCAGGGACCAGGCTGGTAGGGGCGGCTTGAGGGGGGAGAAGTGTCCGGCTTCAAAAAATACATTCCTATTGTGGGGGCAGCTTAGCAAAGCTCTGCTTTCATGGGAGAGGTAGAGACTGACCACTCCAACCCCAGAGCTGGTGAGGCAGCAGACCCCTCCAAGCTGTCGCCACCCCAGAACCGCAGCTGCTGACATGTGCTTGTCTTTCCATCGCAGTGCTGGGCCGAGTGCTGGAGGTGACGGACCTGCCTGAGGGCATCACACGGACAGAGGCTGACAAGCTCTTTACCCAGCTTGCGATGGCTGGTGCCAAAATCCAGTGGCTCAAAGAGACTCAGGGGCGTCGCGGAGATGGGGTTGGCGGGGACAGCAACGGGACTCCAGAGAACAGCAGACACACTGACCTTGCTGCCTTATACACCATCGTGGCCGTGTTCCCCAGCCCGCTGGCTGCCCAGAATGCCTCCCTCCGCCTCAACAACTCCCTCAGCCGCTTCAAGCTGCGTGTGGCCAAAAAGAACTACGACTTGCGAGTGCTGGAACGTGCCAGCTCACAGTAGGGCTCATGCATGGGCACAGAGCACACTGGACTGCAGGCACTTCCCTCTGCCTTCTCTCCTCCTTTCTGCCCTCCCTTCTTCTCGCCCTCCTTCCTGGATATATTTATATGGACTTAATTAAGAGACAAGAAATTGATTTTTTTTTTTTTTTTGGAGTGACGCCCATGCCCACCCACCTTACCCTGTGTATATTGTTTTGTTAAGCACTGTGTTGAACTGCACATACAGGTGTTGATTGGTATGTTCACTGCACATTTTATTTAATCTGGTTATTATTTTGGGGGGGTATTTTTGTTTTTGTTTGGGGGGAGGTTGTTTTTAAATATAAAAAGAAAACTTGTCCATCACTTTAATGCTGCTTTACCATTCTCTGTCAGTACCAGAGCTAGGGGTTTTCTGTTTGCTTCTTTGAGGTAAGATGACAGCCAGAGAGCTGAATGAGCTCCCTGGCTTTCAGGAGGGTGTGCTCCTGCCCCGGTCCTGCCCCATGCTTGATGTGTGCAAGGGCTCGTGGCCTTGCCAAGGCTGGGAGCTGAGACTGGGAGAGGAGCGCTGCACCCTTTGACCTGGGTCTGGGTCCCCCTTTCAGATGTTCATAGCCTCTTTTCCCAGCAGCTGGGCCCCACGCAGCTGTGTGGGATGGGATTTGGGGTGTCCCCGGCTGTATTCCCTGCCAGGGGGCACCAGGATTAAATGGGAGCAGCCCTTGAGCTGCTAGATGCAACCCTCCTGCCCTGCAGGTACAGGAGTTGGGCTGGTTCCAACCTCACCGTGGCACTGCACGCAGCAGCTGGAGCCTCTTGCCACACTTGGACGCTACCTTCACGAGCAGGTGGAGAGGTAAAAGCTACCTGGAAGGGCTGGGCTCTAACCCCTGCTCCAGGGCCACCTACAGCCTCTCCGGGACAGAGGTCCAGGACCTCTGGCACTGGGGTTCAGCTCCAGGACCACAGCACCCAGCACAGGCAGCACTGGGTTCCCTGTGCACGTTTCTGTCCCAGCGGAGAGCAGACCAGCAGGGTTTTCTGCCCGGGACAGCCACCAGAGCCTGGTACCCGCTGCTGCCCCGCATTTCCTTTCCCTCTCCCAGCTGCAGGGGCATTGAATGCAGCAACAAATGAGGCAGTGGGGCTGGTGGAGTACTTGACGTGCCCTGGCTCTGTGGCTGCCCCGTGCCAGGGGGTGGGTGGGCCGCTGTGACGCCCAGCAACCCACCAACGCAAATAGCCAACGGCTCCTCCACCCCGCTCCCCTCCCGGCTCGCGCATGGGCTCCAATTTCTCGGCGTCAGCCTCCGCCAGCGCTCAGCTGTCGGCTCCCCTCTGGCCTGTCACTCCCGCTCTCCACGGGACTGGGGCGGCTGCCCCCCTCCCTGCACACCCAGCGCATTGGGCTGGGGGCTCCGCAGCCAGCAAAGGCTCTGACACCGGCCACCCACCCCTTGCAGGGTTTTTCGTCGCGGGACGTGAGCTCCAGACACGGCGTAAGTGCACAGCTCCCCTTCCTCATGGCCACTGACCCCCCCCGAGCCCTCCCCCGCCCCACACACGTCGCTGCAAGGCCCCGGGGCCCCTTGGCTCCTGCAGCACCCCTTGCCCCAGGACTCCCCAGCTCCCATCGCTGTCTCCTGGGGCAAGGAGTCATCCTGGGGGGTTTCCATGGGGGTATGTGGGAGCCTGGGGTTAGGTAGCACCAAACATGGTGATGTCTGGGTGGAGGGGCTGTGCAGATGGTGGGCTGGCTGGCAGAGGGGGAATTGGGAATGTTTTGGGGGATGCAGGAGAGATCCCATCCCCTTGGTAGCGCTGGGCTTCTGGGGAGGAGAAAGCGGGGCTGTGCCGTGATGTCGGACAGTGAAACATGCACGCCTGTCACAGGGGGCCAAGAGTGGCACCGTTTGCAGTTTAATTGTGAGATGGAGATGTCTGGGCAGAGGTGACGCATGCAGGTAGCCCAGGGTCTGGCTCACAGCACTTGGCACCGTGTGTCTGAGCCTGCGAGCAGCAGTGCTGCGTGCGCTGGGCTGGGAGCAGCGCCTGCTGCTCTCCAGTCTCTGCAGCAGGGCCCCCAGAGGTGCTGGGCCCTGGGACTTGTCCCCAGCAAAGGTGGCCCCTTCCTGGGGCAGGAGACGACACTGCCTCGGGGGATGCTCCCCATCCAGCAAGGTCTGGGTGTTCCTGCACCCTCCAGGGACCTGCAGTGGGGCCAGCCCTAGCCAACACCGTGTCTCTGTTTTCCCCTGGTAGTATGACAGAGAAGGAAGTGCCAGAGCCGCCAGCTTCACCCGCTTCAGGTGGGAAACCCAAGAGCCGGGTAAGTGGGTGCCTGCAGGACAGCTTGGGCAGGTGGGGGAAGCACAGTCCCTGCAGCAGCTGCAGGAGCCTTTGTGGGATCGGGAAGGCCTACCAGGCCCCAAGGCAAGTGGGGCTCTAGATGGCCGTTTGCCAGCTTGCAGCGCTGCATCCCCACGGACTCACAGCTGCTCCTTTTGTGGGGACCTCACTGGGCTGGGAGAAGGACCCCATCCTCCCAGCATTTCTGCCCCAGGGTGCCTGGGATCTACCCCCACCTAGGGGGGAAGAAGGGGTCTCTAGGTCAGAGCGTGGAGCAGAGAGCTGGGCACCAGGTTTTCTGCCTGCCTTCCTCGCCGCTGCACCCGCAGTGCACGATGCATCCTCTCCTGTCCCAGCAGCTACAGAAGCTGAAGCAACTTTTCCAGCGAAAACCCAAGGAGGAGGTGGCGCCGGAGCCGCAGCCCAACGGGGAGCTTGTCAGCCCCTCAGGGGGACCCATCTACTACATCTACGAGGAGGAGGAAGAGGAGGAAGAGGAGGAGGAGCCTGAGCCCCCTCCTGAGCCCCAGAAACTTGTCAATGACAAACCCCACAAGTTCAAGGATCATTACTTCAAAAAGCCCAAGTTCTGTGACGTTTGTGCCCGCATGATCGTCCGTGAGTCCCGCGGGTGCTCGGGCTGGGGGCCGCGGGCAGGGCGAGGGCTGGGGGCCAAGGCTGGCGAGGGCCCGAGCCCAGCCGTTCCCACAGCTGCAGTGTCACGTTGCCTCTCCTTTCCCCCCCACCACCCCCCCCACGGCCAGTCAACAACAAGTTCGGCCTGAGGTGCAAGAACTGCAAAACCAACATCCACCACCACTGCCAGTCCTACGTGGAGATGCAACGCTGCTTCGGTAAAATCGTGAGTGCTCCCCCCCAGCCCCGGGCTCACGGCACCTCCCCGCAGGGAAAACCCCGGCACCGCAGCGGGGAGCGAGCGGCTGGGTCCCCGCGGCCGTAGCCCGGGTGCCGTCACCCCGTCACCCCCCCCTGCCCTCCTGGTTCTGAGGGGTTGCCCAGCACCCTGAGCTACCTCCAGGCACCACGTCCACCACCGAGCCCCCATGGGTCTGGGTCTGGGTGGTGGCGATGCTCTGACCCCCCCATCCACTCCTAGCCCCCAGGGTTTCGCCGGGCGTACAGCTCGCCCCTGTACAGTGACCAGCAGTACGCCTGCGTCAAGGAGCTGCTCTGTAAGTAGCGTCCCCGTGCCGGGGCTGCCCCCCTTCTCCTCACATCCTGTGGCCAAACCCCTCTCACAGTGTCTGTGCCCCAGCAGCAGCCAACAGGAGCGACCCCGTGTTCGAGACCCTCCGGACAGGCGTCATTATGGCCAACAAGGAGCGCAAGAAAGGGCAGGATGACAAGAAAAATGTGAGTGCGGGGCTGAGCTGTCACCCCAAAGGCACGAGGGGCCTGTGCCCCAGTGCCACCCGGAGCTCCCTGCCCGCTGACTGCTCTCTGCTTTGCAGCCTTTGGCTGCGATGATGGATGAGGAACCCGAGGCCACAAAGCCAGAAGGGGGCAAAACGGAGGGCGGTGAGTTCATGGGACAGGGAAGGAGCTGCGGGGAGGACTGTACAGAAGCCCCCCCCCCTCCCAGGGTGGGATCTGCCCTGCAGACAGGGGGTCTCCAGTTCAGGTCTTGGATCTCCTGAGCATAAGAGGTCCCGGAGATGAGGCTGGTGCCATGGGTGGGGTGGCAGCAGCAGGAGAGATGTCACCACCACCACTCCCCTCCCATTTCCAGGCACTTCTGAAGGGGACAAGAAGGCTGAGAAGAGCACGACAGATGATAAGGTATGCATCATCCTCACCCTACACCCCAAAGGCTCTGAGCCCTCCCTGCTGAGCTCCCTGGGGCTGTGCCCAGTCTCCCTGTAGCCCTGAACCCCCCCTTTCTTGCTCTCCAAGAACAAGAAGCCCCAGCCGGGGATGCGTGGTGGCTATCTGCAGTCTCACTATTTCGTGGCGCTTTATCGCTTCAAAGCCTTGGAGAAAGACGACCTGGATTTCCCGTGAGTTTGCAGCCACACAGTGGGCACGGGGGTGATGGGGGGAAGGAATTGGGGTGTCCAGCGGGGATGGGGAGATGTCGTCACCTCAACAGTGAGGTTCTCGGAGCCCGGAGGGTTCAGCCACTTAATGAGGGCAGAATTTAGAGCCATGCTGGCTCTGGTGTAGGTTTTGTGGATTTTCTGCCCCTATGGGTAAAGCATCGAGGGGGAGCCCTGGCTCTCACTGAGCCAGCTCTCCCAGCTCCCAGGTTTTGGGCACAAGCCTCATTTCTAAGGTTGCTGGTGTTTGTCTTTTATGGTTCCGCTGATTTATTGCACCCCAGACTTGAGGCTGAGCTGCTCACGTACAGGACCTGTCCATGAGTCCGTGAGCTGTATGCATCCTTCACATGGAGCCCTAAGAGTCTGTGCCACGGGAAGAGCAATTTTCCTTTTCTCCCATAGCAGGGTGGTCCCAGCCCCCCTCACACCAAGCCCTTCCTTCCCTTTGCAGGCCAGGGGAGAAGATCACGGTGGTTGATGACTCCAATGAGGAGTGGTGGCGGGTAAGGCTGATATCCTGCAGACACAGAGGGAAGACATGCAGGGCTTAAAGAAAAGGGAGAACTCGACTGGAGGTGCAAATTGCACTCCAAGGGAGGCACAGCCCCCTAAATTCACTGCGTTTTAATCAACGCACAATCTGCAGGCTGAGGGTATCTGGGTATCTAAAGTCAAATTATAGATTGACTCCAACCCCTGCCTGACATCCATCCATGGACTTCTTTCAGGGGAAGATTGGTGAAAAAATTGGCTACTTCCCCCCGAACTTCATCATCCGGGTGCGGGCTGGGGAGCGGGTGCACAAGGTGACTCGCTCCTTCGTGGGCAACCGGGAAATTGGGCAGATCACGCTCAAGAAGGATCAGGTGAGGCAGGACCATGTGGTCACAACCAGTGCTTTTTGAGCCCCCCCCCATCTCTGCCCCAGCCCCCTTTCATTAACTGCCCCCCTCCCCCTATGTCTATCTCCCCCAGCCCCCTGTACTGGACCCTCTCTGTTGTCCCCCTCTTCCTGGGGGTCACCCCCTTCCCCTGCTGACCGGGGCCCCTTTCCCCCCCCCAGATCGTGGTGCAGAAAGGTGAGGAGGTGAACGGTTACGTGAAAGTCTACACCGGCCGCAAAGTGGGGCTCTTCCCCGTGGACTTCCTGCAGGAGATCTGAGCAGGGCAGCATCCCGGGGCCCCCCAGCAGGGGGGACGGATGGACCCTGGCTGCGGGGAGCTGCGGAGCCAGGCAGGGATGGCTGGCACCCTATCCCTGATGCCTGTGGTGATGGGGCCTTCAGTGGGGACCGTCTCCACCAGGACCGGGCAGGCCAGGGGCACGGGAGGTGCCTCTCTGGGGCTGTTCCCCTCTGGGGCTTTTGGTGCCCGCAGAGACCCTGGGTGTGAGGAGGGGGCTGCTTGGATGCCACCCAGCTCCTGCGCCTTGGGTGGTGGATGACTCGGGGGTGTCAGTGGGGTCCTGTCCCAGTGCTCTGGGCTGTGTAATTCTGTGTTTTGGCAATACACGTCTGCTCCTGAGCCCTCCCCGCTTTGAACGTCCTTGAGAGGGGGGGGGGGTCACCACAGTGCTGCTGTGGAAGGGGCTGCAGTGATGCTTTCCTGCGTGGCCCACGTGTGCCACCCTGTGCGGCACGCTCCTGCCTCGCGTGTGTGCCTGGAGCTTCGGCCCAGCCTCCCCCAGGCCTCGCCCACACAGGCCCCCTCTGCCCCCAGCTCCTCTGGTGGAGCCCTGGCACCCAAGGGTGCTCCACGCGTGCACCGAGCTGGCCCAGCCTCGGCAGGGGCCCCATTTTCCCCCGGCCTGTACAGGGCTGGGGCCGAGTGCTGGCAGTGGGCCCAGCAGGGCCCGAATAGGGGCCGTGGGTGACAGGTGACAGTGCCAGGGACGGGTCAAGTCCTTGGAACCATGGGGCGAGCACCGAGCCAGGAACAGGTGCCCGCCCAGGACGGCAGACAGGGGGGCTCCGTCCAGGCCCCCGCAGCCTCGGCCCCTCGAGGGGGCAGCACTCGGGGGTCCACTGCGAGGACTGGGGCAGGGCCCACCAAGGTCACAGTACCCATGGGGACAGGGATGGGGACAGGGCCACTGGGGCCCCTTGGCAGGGCTCCCAGCACCAGCCTCAGCAGGCCCCATGCAGCTGCCCCGGCCTTGCCTCTGGGCTGGGGGGGGGCGCTGCTGCTGCACGACGTTCCTCCATGCATATGAATGCAAATTTATGCAAATCTATGCAAAAAAAGCTCAGCTGCAGTGGTGCCGCCTCGTGGTGTCTCGTGAGGTAGCCCCAGCCCAGTGCTGCAGGGAGCATTCATGCAAGGGTCCAAGGGCAAAGCAGCCCCCGTGCTGCCCCCCAAGGGGCTCCCCAAGACCCCACCGCTGCCCCCCACTCCTATGTCTGCAGGGGTCCCGGGTCACACAACAAGGCCCTCGCTGCCTTCAGCTGCACCACCACTGCTGGAAGCAGCCCCAAAGCAAGGCACCACCATCCCTCAATTCCTGCACCTTAGTACTCAGTGTCAGACCCCCAGGAGGGGGTGACAGCCCCCAGCCCCAGGGGATTTGTTCCTTGTTACTCAGCAGGCTGGGGCCAGGTTGGTATCGGGTACAGACACCCTGTCCCCCAGTACAAGTGTCTCAGGAGCCAGCTGGGAGGTGTACTGGGTATACTGGAGGCCCATAGGCAGAAGGGAACGATGAAAAGGGAGGGGGGGGGTGCGGGGTGCCACACACCACAGCATGCCTGGGGGCAGCACATAGCCTCCAGGACTGCTTCCTCCCTGCTCATCTCGTCTCTGCCAGGCAGCTTTTAAATGCGGAACCATTAAAATTTTCCACCTCATTTGCAGCTTCTCATATGGTTAATTTTACTGGGACTGTCTATTTATTTATTTGCAGGGCCCCGCAGGGGGGTGCTGAGGAGGGCTGGAAGCTGATTTGCTGCATCTGGGAAGTAGGGAGGAGAAGGGGGGAACCACCCAGGGAAGGGGTAGGGCTCCAGCTAATTTAACAGCTGAAGAGAACAACTTAATTAGAGTCATCTGGAAAATTGGGTAAAACCCTTTCATCGCCCCCCCAACCTACCCCCAGGCCCCTTCCCTGCCAGCAGCCATGGACTTCCCGGGAGGCTGCGCACGTTTTGGGGTGGGGAGGCAGAGCTGGGGCCCCACCTCCCAAGCAGATGGCCTTCATTACATGCAGGCTCTAATTGGATTGATCAGCAGTTAATATGAAATTAAAAGGTGATTCCCCCCCCCAGCACCACATGTGCATCCTGGCTGTCCAGGTGCTCCCTGCAGCCACTCCGGGCTCAGGGGTGTGGGTCCCTGGCAAGAGTGATGCAGGCAGAGGAGGGGAGGGCTGGGGGGCTGCTGGCACCTAACGGGGCAAGGGGCTGAGTGCCACGGCCATCCCGCGTGGGAGGGATGGATGCTGCCAGGTGGCCATGCTCACCCACTGGCTGCACACACCGGTCTGCGTGCTCGTAACACGCTGTGGCTGCAAGGCACAAGGTCAGGGTGTGCTCGTGCTCCCCATTAGCTTGCAGCCTGGTTGTGACCCAGATGTGACACACAGGGGCAGTGACTCTGCTGGTGGGGGGACAGCCAGTGTCCCACTGCTAAACCCTCTGCAGCTGGGTTAGACGAAGGGGGTCTGCTCCCCACCCCACCCCATGCGTCACGTGGGGAATGTCAGAGTGGAGGAGCCACCCTGACCTGCTAGATTAATCACCTCAATTTCTCTGTACGTCTCACAAAAGGTCAGGAGTCCTTGCGAGGCTCAAAATTAATTGAGGTACCGCTGCTCTCGTGCTGGATCCATACATCATCCCAGGAGAGCAGCCCCGGCAGGGAGGGGATGGGGCCCCAACGCACCATCCTGCAGGCAGCGAGCCCCAGGCAGCACAGCTGGAAGCGGGGGTCCCAGGGCTGCGTGGGCACCCCACAGCCTGTCCACTGCTTGTCCCCAACCAGGAGGCCTGGCCCCCAGTGCCCCCCGCCTGTGTGGCTCTGCCTGAACCTTCTCCTCCAGCTGGGCTGATGCGATGATCAGAGGATTGTTCTCAATCCTAAGGCAGAAAAAAAAAAAAAAAAGCATTAAACTAAACCAAACTGTCTCATCTCCCCCCCCCAACTGCCCTCCCCCCCCCCCACCTGCCACACACGCACCCTGCCATAAATCAGCATAAATGCAATTTACATATTTATGGTATTTATCCAGTAACTGTCCTGTCCCAGATTAAACGTGCCCCAGGGATCACCCCGGGCTCCTTATCTGTGCCAGGGTGCTCCCAGGAAGGAGCAGCTCCGCTGTGGGATTTGAGCGGGGCTCAGCAGCTGCCTGCATCTCCCCCACTCCCAGCGAGTCCAGGGAGAGGAGGATGGAGAGGAAAATCCAGTGCTGAGCAGCAGCCCTGCCCCACAGCCTTGCTCTCCTGCCCAAAACCCCTTTCTGCTTGGGGTCGGAGCCCAGACCCTGCTGTCTCCCACCCAGCCCAACACCTCTCCTTGGGGTTTTCTCCTGTCCCTGCTTTCCTGGTGTCTGTCCCCCAAGCCCAACTGTGCTGTTGGGGCTGAACCAGCCACCTCCCCCCCCACAGGCCCTCTGCTACCTGAGTGCCCCGACCCATGCAGGACCTGTGGCATTGAGGGCTGTGGGGACCCTCCAAAGGGAGGGGTGTCTCTGGCTCCAGGGTGCTCCCTGCCCTGGGGTGTCCCCTGGCTGTGCTCCTGTGCAGGGGGGAGGTTGGGGGCCGCAGCTCCACTCTGACAGCTCCTTGTCAGCAGTAATGACCGGCTCTGAGTCCAGCCAGGCCCCAGGGCTTGGTGCTGAGCTCGTTAGGGGGGATTTAATGAGGGCAGGAGGCAGGCGCTGCCTCTGGCTGTTTGTCGCAGCCGCTCTGGCCTCAGCCTGCCTAGACTGCTCGGGTGTTTGCACGGGGCCCCTGGCAGGGCTCATTCTGCTGCCCCCCTCAGCCCCCACCTCTGCCCCATGCTGTGGCCCCCAGCTCAGCCCCCAGTCACCCTCCACAGGTTCCTACTCTGCCACCCATGTCCACCATGCCGGAGCTGATAGGACTGGGGCATCCTGATGCTGTTTTCCCCCAGCCCAGGGGGTGAGGTTGCACCCCCTGGAGACAGGAAACCACGGAGGGGCCACTTGCGCTGCTTTTCCTCACCTGGGGTCTGGCAAAAAGGCTGCTAGGGCTGAGAACGCCCCGCTGAGGGGCAGATGGAGTAAAGCCGGGGCTGTGGGATGCAGCCAGGAGGTGCCTCCCCCCTGCCCGGTGCGCAGGGTGCCGGCGGGGGCTGCTCCAGGCATTGCGGGGGCTCTCCAAGGTGGGGAGAGCCCAGGTGAGAGGGCTGGAGGCTGAGCCTCACGCCCGTGGTCCTGGCTGCAATTTGGCACCCTCCGTGCTCTGAGGCATCCGGGAGTCTTCCTCGGCTCAACAACAAGCTGCGTAAACAGGAGCCTGCAGGCAGTGTTAATTAGTTAAATATTTGGCAAGGCAGAAGGCACAGGAAGAATCTGAACAAGCTGGAGGGGACAATGCGCTGCCCCCTGCCCCACTGCCTGCAGCAGAGCAGACCCCAGGCATCCAGGGACGATCTGGTCCTGCTGGGAGCAGCTCACGCCTGCTGCGGCCCCCACAGCCCACCAAGGAGCCCTGGGTCTGCACGGGAAAGGATGCTGGTGAGGAGGGGTCCCCAGAGACCCCCAGCCACCCCACTTTGCTGCCTAACTCAGAGTCATGCAAGCTGGCGGCTCCTTGTTCACAGCCCCTGGTGGGCCCAATCCAGAGGTCCCAAACTCGTGTTTGCCCCATCGGTTTTGTTCATGACCTCAGTGGCGCAGTAAAATCCACCTGGGCGTTAACCAAGGGCAGCGATGAGTTGCAGGGGGGCACAGATTTGCCTCCAGCTGGGGGATGTCCCTGACGAGGGCTGTCAGAAGGATTCTGGCTGGTGTGGGGGTGCTGAGCACCATCAGTAGGACCTGGCATTTCAGAGCAGCCCCTGCCCCCCCGGCTGCCCCCAGCCCTGACCTCCGGACCGTGGGGTCTGTCCTCCCCAGTCCTCAGATGAGGCTGAAACACCCCAAAGCCCAGCTGGGGAGCGACGACCGTATGCAGCTTCCGTCCCCACAGCCCCTGTGATGTGAACTAAATCCATCCTAATTAGCACTGATTTGCATGGGGAAATTAAAATTAATCTAGCCTGGGTTCATCGGAATTAGTGATTCTAGTTGGGCACATCAGAAAGTGGCAGACGGACAGGCAGAGCAGGGCTTGGTATGGTAGAAAGCCGTCTGCCCCCCCCCCGACCTCGTGCCCTCCCTGGGGCTCTGCCCCACGCCCCTGTCCTGGCCCCGCAAGACCCCAGCACAGGGCTCAGATGCCTGGGGTCAGTCCCGCACCCTTCCTGGGTGCAAGGGGGGGTTGGTGCATTCCCCCCCCCACCCCACCCCGATCCCATGGCTGTTCCTGGCTGCAGGACAGGGAGAGCAGCGCTCGTCTGACCCCCCTGCCCCATCCCACGCCTGGTTTCTGGCAACGGCAGGAGGGCGAAGGGCACGAAGGGGCCGGTTCCTGCATCTCCAGGGTGGGAGATGCTGCAAGACCCCGGGGGGGGGGGGAGGTGGGGGACGACAGACAGGTGTGTGATGCACACACACATGCGCTCATATCGACGTGCTCCCGTGCACACATGGCCGTGCATGGCTCCGTGTGAGTCCTTGCACACCTCCTTCTGTGCGTGGTTCCTTACACAGCTGCGTGCGTGTGGCCCCTGTGCTTGCCATGCAGGAGTGAATCCTCGTGGAGCCCCCCCGGCCTGGCAGGGAGTGGGCACAGCAGGGGGAGCCCAGGCCATGCCCCCGTCAGCAAATTCCTGTCCCAGCCGTCCCCAATTCTGGCACTGCTAAGCCTGGGGGAGCACCGCGGCTCATTGGTATGGGGTCCGTGGCAGCGCAATGAGCAGAATGATCAGCACGCTCATGAAAAATTAACCAGGCAAAAACAGCTGGGCAGGAGCTTTGTCTGCTGGGGCTGGGGGGGCGGCACGGCGTGGGCAGGCTGGCGTCGTCCAGGCAGCTGCAGGATGGGAGCTGGTGTCTGCCTCTGCTCCACAGGTCATCCCCGCCTGCCGCACGCCTTCCAGCCCAAAAAGCAGGGCCGTCAATCTGGGATTGTCCCAGCCCCGTGGCAGCTGCGTCCCCTGCCCCGTCCCTGTCTGCTGGGGCACGTCTGGTCGTGGTGACCCCATTGCTGGCCCACGGGATTTCAGTCTGGCTGACAGGAGCGAGACCTCCATCTCCTGCGGCCGCATTTGCAAGTCAACCACGAGCTCTGCAGCAGTGGTGGGGGCTACCGGGGGACAGGGACGGGGGCACCCTGGGGAGGGGAGCAGGAACAGAGCAGCCTTTCGTCGCTGCCCCCCCCCCCCCCCCTGGACATCTATGGCTGGTTTGGGGAGGGGGTGCAGCTTTTCTATAGAGCTGTTATTGCCACCACCACCACCCCCCCGCCCATCCACAGGGCTGTAAACACTCAATTAAGCACGAGCGCCTGGTCCTGCCTTCCCTGTCGCTGCTGGTAATTATGTAGGTTTTTCGGTGTCAGGCACCGCGGGGAAGCGCGATTACAGCTAATTGGAGCGGCTCTCCCCAGCCCAGGCCCTTCTGCAGCTGCTGGAGCTGCCATGTGACAGCAGCTCTGCACCCCCCCACCCTCAGTCTCCCCCCCCCCCAGTTCTGCACCACCACCCCCCCCAATTTACACCCACAGGGTGCTTCCCACCTGCCTGGCTGGAGATGTGGGGATGGGTGAGGATCCCGGTGGGTGTCTGTGTGCCAGGCAGACCCTGAAGGTGGGGGTTTGCCCCCCCCCAAGATATTTCAGGGACCCAGAGGCGCCCTAAAGGCTGCAGCAGGATGGGGTGCACCTGCCCGAAGCACTGCCCAGGGCTCTGCTCTGCTGGCAGGGCTGGCTCAGCCCCGTGCATTGCTCGCAGCACCGAATGCACCCAGGGCGCACGGGTGCAAGGAGCCCTGAGGCAGCCAGGGGAAGGGTGGGGGGGTCCTGGAAAGAACGGGGCGTCTGCTCTGTGCCCCTCCAGATCTTGGGGTTGGCGGGGGGACCTGAGAACTGGGGGGGGAGGGTGGAGAAGGACCCAACGCCACCCGTCCCGGCGGAGACGCATCAGGAGCACAGCGTCTGCCATTGATTTCTTATTATGGAGTTCAACAAGAAAAATGAGGTGCTGGGGCTGCGGAGCAGCAGCCGTGATTTGTCGCCTTCGTGCCGTGTCCTGGCGGGGATGGGAATTGATTTGGGCGTCGCTGGCATCGCTCAGTGGGGCTGGGGGGGGACCAAAGGGGGGACCGGGGGGGGTCGGGTCCTTGGAGCCGTGCGCCACGAGAGGGCGCCGCAGGACTCCCGACGGGCCCGGGACGCCCCACGGTGGGCAGGGGGGGGCGCGGACACGCGTGGGCTGCTCGTGCAAGAGCACGAGGCCCCGGGGCGCACGCCTGGGGGGTGCAGGGGTTGGGGTCGTGCCACTGTCCCGCATCTCGGGTTGGGCACACGCGTGTCCCCATGCATCGGCCGGGCACGCTCAGCACCATCGTGCACACCTCGGGTGCGTGCTCCGCTGCTGGGCACAGCTCTGTCCCCACCAGTGTCTTTGTCACGATGAAGGAAGAGGCTGTGATGCTTATTAAATCGCATCAAGGCGGCGTTACAGCAATCGGCAGCTGGCGACCCCGGTTATTTATAAAACAGGCTTTGGAAATCGCAGCTCTGGGCTTGGGCTTTTCTTCAGAGAATTACGGAAAAAAAAAAAAAAAAGAATAAAAAAATAAATAAATAAAAAGAAAATAAAAATCGATGTTGCAGGACAAGGCCAAGGCGGTGGTTAATTGCAGGGTCGGTTCTAGGAAACGCCTCCAGCAGCCACGGAAGCGGCAACCTCCCCGCTGCCATCCTGGAGCCCCCGCCTGCGGTGCTGGATGCCCCTCAGCGCCCCAGCTGCACCCTGCAGGCCCATGGCTGGGTCTCTGGGGACAAGGAGGGGGGTTCGTCTCAGCTGTCACTTGCAGTATCTTGGGGGATTTGGGGTCCCAAGTTACGAGGGTGGTGCCCCCAATCCTGCAGCAGTTGTGGGTCAGGAATCGGCTTTCCTGGTGCTCATCACGCAGTGCCCTGTGATTAATGGGGGGAATTAGGATGATAATAGCCCTGTAAATGAAGGTGCCAGCTATAAATGATGTGTGTCTGTGTTGGGTGATGGATGGCACCGGGGCCAGCCCTGGGTGCTGGCAGACAAGCGTGCTCAGAGGCACGCTGCAGCCAGGGCAAGCACGTGGGGGAGCAAGAAAGGGGGGGTGGGCATGATGTCATAGCGATCAGTGACATCACGGCATGGGCATGACATCACACTCAACAGGAGGAGACATGGGACAATCCCAGCATGGCAGGGAGGAAGGGGTGAGGTTGCCCCACCGTTATCTGGCTGTGCAGTCCATCGCGACACATCTCAGCAGTGCTGGTGGTGATGCCCCTTGTGGAGCTGCTCCTTCAGCCACTGCCCCCCCACCCAAAAAAAAATACACCCCCTTGCCAATCCCCTCAACCTGTCCCTGTCCCTGTCCCCCTGGCTACCTCCTCTCCCTGCGAGGGTCTGGAAGACCCCCAGCACCCAGCCCCTTCTGCCTGTGCTGAGGCTTGTCCTACAGCACGCCTCTGTGGGGCTATGAAATATATCCCGTTAATTCACCATTTAATTATTGGCTGTTTGTTTATTGTTTGTTTGCTTTAGATGATATGAATTTTTTATGATGGTTTCCATTGCGCCCCGGCCAAAAGCCAGGGAGATTTACAGCTTTGGCACGAGCAGCACCGTGTGGCTCCATCCAGCCCCCTAAAAAGGGGACAGGCCTAATTATCAGAGGGGTACGACTCTATTCTTGGAGGGGGTGCAACTCTGTGTCACCCCCACAGGAGGTCTGGGGTCTGCTCCTTGCAGGGTCTGGGGGTCTGCCTGGGGAGCACCAAATGGGGGCCAGGTGTGGGGCCAGGGGGGCAGTGAGGAGGCTGTGGGGTGGGGAGGGGGTGTGGAGCTGGCTGGGTGCTGGGGGAGGCATGCGGGGACAGGGGGGGGGCTGAGTGCCAAGGCTGGGAGCTGGAGGAAACAGCACGCTCAGGTGCAGGCACGTTCAGCCCCGAGCTGCAGCATCTCCCATTAATGAAGCACTTCATCACCGCGGCGTTGCAGGGGGGGCACCCAATTCGGGATGATAAATTCCCCGCGACGGCCCTGCGCTCGCTCGCAGCAGCCGTGATTCTCCTTCATCTTGAATAATATTTTTGGAGTGGCTGTAAAATACCCGCCGCAGCAGCTGCGAGCAGCAGCACCAAGGCCTGGCAGCTCCCCCCGTTCCCCCCACCGTGTTTGTCTCTCAGCTGCTTACCCTGACCGGGCTGTACCGGGGGGGCCCTTATATAGGGTCTGGGACTGCACTGGCACACGTGGGATTGTGTGTTGAGTGTGCAAGCCTACGTCTTGCCCATAAAGGTGTGTAAGTGTCCCTGTGGCCATGCACATCTGTTGGGATCGGGGCAGGGGTTGTGCACGTGTCTGTGCACAAACGTGTGCACACAGACGGGTGCAGCAGCACAGGCTGGGGGGGGGATCTGTGCGCAGGCCAGAAGCAGCCATGAAGAGCTCGAAAGGTTTCTATCTGCTTGGATTGATGGTGTCTCCCTCCTGGGGGGGGCAGGGGGGTTGTGCTGGCATCCTCCCAGCACTCGGCAGGGCTGAGCCCCTTGAGATGGCCGCTGTCACAGGGGTGGGCTCGCGGTGCCCAGGAGAGCGCCTGAGCAGCAGGGCACGAGCTCTAATCACCATAGAAGAGGGAAGTGCGGCACAGAATTAAATGCTCTCTTAATTATAATCATTAATGAGCATGGAGGCAGCTGGGCTTTGCAGGCAGGGAATCCCACTGCTTCTCCAGGGGAAGTCCTGGGCTTGTCTGCAGGGAGCTTGGAGCTTGCGGGGTGCTCCAGAGCAGGCCTGGCTCTGATGGGGCCGAGTGCCTCCCCCCCTGCCAAGGGGATCCTGGCGGTGCCTGTGGGGTCACCCTCGCAACATGTGGGCACTTGCCCCATCACAAACCCTCCCGCACAGCTCTGCCCCGACCCTGCCCACGCACGCACCCCACGCCACCGTCCCTGCACCGCGGCAGTCGCTGGCAGAGGGAGGCAGCGAAGGACGCGAGCCGAGGGCAGGATGCACTCTGTCTTGGGGAGT